GCGCGACGATTTTCAACATAGAAAGAAAGCCAAAGGGTGAAAAACAAACAAACGGCGGCAGCCAGGACGGGGTAGTGTAGTAGTAGTAGTAGTAGTAGGAGTTAGTCAGTAGTACGTAGTAGTAGTAGTAGTAGTAGTAGTTAGTAAAGTAGTCGAGCAGGAGTAAAGACTAATATAGGATCTATATCTACATATCCTATATCCTATCACTGCTAATATCCTAAGATCCTATATTATCTCTACTACTGCGGTTAGTAAGATAGCTAGTCAGTAGTGTCCAGTAGTAGTAAGTAGTAGTAGTGTGTCGTCAGTAGTAGTCTTAGTAGTTAGCAGCAGGCAGCAGCAGCCAGCAGCAGCAGTCTAGTAGTAGCTAATAGTAGTGTAGTAGTGTAGTAGTCAGTAGTAGTAGTAAGCAGTCAGTAGCAGCAGTAGTGTAAGTGTAGTAGTAGTCCAGTGTCAGTTAGGAGTAGTAGTAAGTAGTAGTAGTAGTAGTAGTAGTAGTAGTTAGTGTAGTAGTAAGGTGATGTGCTAAGGACTAGCGGGGTGAGGTGAGGAAATGAGGTAGTCTTGTAATCGGGTCCTTTTGGCTTATTTGTTAAAACGTGTGCTTGCGTTATCAGGATTCCTCGTAAGGTTTTCAGTACCTGAACGGCGCTGCTTGCTCGAGCGGGAACAAAAAAGTACAAATGGAAAAACGAGCACTCTTTCATTAACTGAATTTCATACAGGTACCACTATTATGTATTACCATTAGCAGTGGCAATAATTTTTTAAAGTTTTTTATTTCGAGGATTCTAATACAGTATTTATTATGCATAAAGAGAAGGCACGTTGGGTGCTCGCAATCAGGTGAACTGGGCAACAGGTCAGGTGACGGTATAAAACTTAACGAATATAAATGCATGGCGGATGTGTGTGTGTGTGATGTGTGCAGTGGTGTGCTGTGTGTGTGTGCGTGCGGTGGGCGTGCTGTGCGCGTGGGTGCGTGGCGGTAAGTGCCCATGTGTGCTGTGTATGGTAGTGTTGATAAACTGTAAGTAGAGAGACTCGGATTTATATCCGGCTGGCCAAGATGGGGGCACGCACACCACACACACGCACGCACAACCGCCGCACATACCCCACACACACACCACATTACACACACACACCAACAACACAACACACACACACACTCACGACACGAACGCTGTAGAACGGTACACCACACACCATGCACGCACGTACGCCACTGCGCGCACGCACACACAGACACAATGTGCGTGATGCAGATGTAGATAATACTGTGCAAGTCAAGGGCGACTTGTAGGGATGATGGAGGTGGTTAGTGTAGAGTTAGAGAATATAGAGAGTGTTGGCTGAGCCACAACAATCTGACTGCTGAGAGTTGTGTGTACATTCGTGTAACGGTCACGAAGAAATAATTCGCTTGCGGTCGGGTTGAAAGCAGCAACAGCAGCAGGGTCGAGGAGTGAAGCAGGTCATGAAGACGAATAGGACGGGGTGGGAATGTGCGTTGGGAAATGAGGTGAGGAGGAGGAGGAAGAGGAGGAGAGGAGAGGAGCAGCCGCAACCAACAGCAACAACAGTTCAGCCAGCAACAGCCAACAGCAACAGCAGAAGCACAACAACAACAACAACAACAACAAACAATACTAGCGCTAACACGCCCTTTTGTTTCCATGATAATTGGTTACATGGCTTTGCCCGACATGAAGCGCACCAAAATTACAAGCAGTAACGACCTCATTATAAAATCCTCAGATCAACCTAACCCTCTATAAGTTCCCTGCCATCTGCCAAGCCAAGCGCCCTTCTACCCCCCATCGCAGCACCACGGCTCGGCATTTATTACGACTCAAGCGAAAATCCCCCCCCCATTGAGAATCAACCCCCGCTGAGTGAACGCAAAGCATCAGACGATGCGCACGCCGCCGCGCATCAGGTGTCTCACGGGGCCGCTAGGCGTGGTGTTACCGCTCTCATTATCAGGCCAGCAGTTTCGCAGCGAAAACACGCTCTGTCGACTTGTTTGCGCACTCTATATACGGAGCGATCGGTCTAGCGCAAATATTTTGTCCGCCCGCGAGAGGCGTGGAAATTGCACGGCGGGTCCCGCACGTGCCGCTGAACAACATTCCTCTCTCTCTCTCTCTCCTCTACTCTACTCTTATCTCGCGTAATTTATCGTAATTCGATTTGCAGTGATGCGCCGCGCTGTGAAGAGACGAGAGCGAGAGAGCGACGAAGAGATAGCGGAGAGGACGAGAGAGCCGCTCACGCGAGAGGAGCGGTGAGAGGACGCAGAGAGGAGAGAGAGAGAGAGGAGAAAGGGAGGCGGGAATAGACCACAGAGAGAGAGAGAGAGGAGATGAGAGAGAGACGGAGAGAGAAGCGGAGAACGGGCGGGAAGCAGGAGAGGAGAGAGAGAGAGAGAGAGAGAGATAGGCGGAGTGAGAGAGAGAGGAAGAGAAGAGAGCCGGCGCGCGTTTTCTCGATCGTCTGCCGCGGCGGGAAAACCTGCTGCAGACTTTGCCTGTGGTGCGTGCGGTGCGTGACGTCGTGCGTGTGTGTATGTGGTGTGTGCGTGTGTTGTGACTGTGTGTGTGCGCGTCGCGTGTGTTTTTCTTGCGTATCTGCGCATTTTCTCTGCGCGACGAGGCAGGGCGATGCGACGAGAGTGGGAAATGTTTTATACATATATTTTTATATATATATATATAATTATGTGCCTAATACGCGTTGGCGTTGTGTGTACTCTACTGATTCTACTAGACGCGACACCGGCGCCCTCTTATTCCTACTTCCCTTCATCTTTCTTTGTATTCTGCTTCTTATCACCTTTCATTGTCATGATTATCATTATCATCGTCGTCGTCGTAGTCGTCGTCATCTTATTCTTCTTCTTCTTTTTTTTCTTTGTCTTCTGCTTCTTCTTCTTCTCTCTCCTCCTCCTCCTCTGACAGATATACCACACGCTGGGGGTGGTACCCGCCGATACATGCGAAAACTAGCATCTACTGGAAGCATTACCCTACCAAGGCCGTTCGCAATAAGTAATAACAACAATGGGAAAAATACATTCGCAACAGCAGATTTGCTTCACTCTTCACATCGGCTCGGCTGTCCGTATACGTACCTTGGAAACCGTCGTGTTGGTGTTGATGCGGCATGTTTTCTTGATGTCCGTTTCCGTCGTGTTCACACATCCAGGCTGCAATCAGAAAACACACGCCGATACTGTTAGTAACCATGGTAACTATCCTCATAACCTCACGAATATTCGTCTTCAAAGTCCAAGAAATTGTTACCGACGACGGAAAGAAACAAATTGATCATATATAAACAAATCAACACTGCGGATCGCATTAGAAAATGCCTCAAATTAGCAATTAAAGTGATTACGTCACCACCATAAATTGTAAATTTAAAATCAATAGTAAAAATTAAAAAAATATTTCCACTTTTTCACAAAATGTAAGTGATTCTGTTCACTTTTTATTGTTAAATTGCTGCATTATACTTCCTATTTTGCTATTCCGTTCGATGTAAACATACACTCGTGACTCATACATAGCCTATAGCAAGCAATTAATGTCAGGATCATAATATCAAATCGTCCAGGTTTTTTGGATTTTTTAACTAGTTGAGAAACAATCTTATCAGGTAAGAATTTTACGATACATTTAGTCCCGTTAGTACTTATCTTTAATGTGAAAAAATGGCAACAAGAATTTTACAGATACACACCATAGAAAATTCGTGACGTAGTCAATTTAACTAAAGAGGAAGGGAGAGAATTTCAATATGGAATGACAGAAACAAAGAGGCTAAACTTAGAAGGATCAATAAGAATGAATGTTCAAGTTAGAATAAATCATTGGTGAGTGGTTTCAGCGTGTTTAGGGGCTCATATACGCTATCATATCAGAGGCTACGATGCATTAGACGCACCTGCTAAACTTAATAATGGTATAAAGATAATAATCTTAACAAAATGGTTAACTGCATAACGGCGCTGTCTACTGCGAGATCTACTACTCTCTGTATGCTCACTATAAATGTGGCCGCAAGCATATTTTGTTTTGTTTTATATCCCGAATTCTCCCCGTATATCATTCCTGCATATCTTCCCATCTTTCCTGTATGTGATCCATTCTATATCATCCCTGCATATCTTCCCATCTTTCCCTCCTCGCTATCAGCATTGGTTAATATATATCGTGGGCTATTAGGTGTATAATATAACGTACCGTAGCTAAAAAAAATACCTAGCTTTAATAATGTCCGCCACATCTACCATAAGTTCTTAGGAAGTAAGGTGATGTTTGAATATATTTTCCGAGAAAAAGGTGCGTCCAATAAGCCGCGAAATACGGCATGTCTAACGAACTGCCCAGTTAAACATAAAACACATTTACACCTTTGGCTTACGTGCAGCGAAACTTCCCAGTAAACCATTGTTGTCATTTACGCCCAACGAACCGCGTAGGTAAAAAATAAGGGTTTTTATCAATAACCTACTTCCGATAAACTTTCCAGGTAAATGAAACCCGCTGTTAGTATTAATAATCTATATAAAACGAGCTGCCTAGCTAAAAACACCGAATCGATGCTATAACATCCCAGATAAATATGAAACACGGTGGCCTCTTTTAATCTACGTATAGAACGAAATGTGCAGGTGTTTGTTATAGTATAGGTCAATGGGCTTACATTTGCTCCAGACAGGTGCAGCTGCTCTATCTATAAATGTGCGGTACGCGAGAACATACAGATAGCTTTCTTCCTCCTATTACTTATAGATGATTAGCGCCTGTATGAGGCAATGCCACTCGCAGTTTGGGTTGTTGGCAGTTGACCGTGGGCGATTCGTCATGCATAAGCACTGTAATGGTATAGACATTGGTTTAGCGGGTCAGCTGCCCCCTTGCCCTCTGCAAGGTACGACCCTGCTTAGGTTAGTGTCACAGTCAGCCGGCGTATATGTAAATACTTACACATTTTTGTCACAGTCCCAGTACTCTGTGGTATCACTGATCCAGGGGTTAAGTGGATCAGCAGTACACAAGAAGGAGTCATATTCCGCGTATTGCTCAAAGTAGTTGATATATCTACAATCAAAAGAAGTAAGATATAGTCGTCATACACTACGTTAGTACTCTCTCATTTTTCGTTTCAATGAAAACATGAATGTGGGGAAAATCACCATGCAGAACGGGTTACGCGAGCAAAAGTTTAAGCATTTCTAAACTCAGATGTAAATGTTCATTAAAAGTTTCACTCTCATTAACTTACAGATATTAGATCATTTTATTATACGGCATTCTATATAAGGTTATTTTCCTAAAGCAGCTGGATAACCGCAATTAATAAAAGATAATGCATAACCCTTGCTCGTAAAATTATTGGAATTATGGAGAACACTAACATTCCGGGAAGTGAAATTGTTCTGGAAACAAATCGATTAAATAATTTTGCAAATTAATTATTTGAATTATAATTAATTTGCAATTAATTAAACATGCACATCGCCAGTATGTATGTTTCACAGTATGTCTGTAGAGTTAATGAGCGCCAACAGACGATTAGCGATTGGCGAGACAATTATGTATTGATATCCCCCATGTAGATGGCAGCACAATACTCGTGAATTACAACTCGTGATTAACCATTCAACGTACATATGATTATCACGCGCATTGCTAAAATGAGTAACAAATCATTCCGAATTGATGACTGAATATCACAGCGCGAATTCATATAGAGCCAAAATAAGAGCAGGCGTTAATGCAAACAGCGATGATTAGGATCCAGCTGATTACACAACAGGAAACCGGCAAATTAACCAGCTGCGTCGTGCACCCACGAAGAGATAGAAATATTGCAAAATCCGCTTCCGCTGAGACGAATTTGCACAACTGATATGCGATTGTTCGCACCTAGCTCCCACGTTTTCCCCGAGCGCGCGGAAGTAGATTAACTAATATCAGGAGTGTCAAAATATAGACATATTAATCATTAGTCTATATTATGTCACTCCTGCTGATATCACATCGACTTACAGAGAGAGACATATTATTTGATATTCTCATGTCGAACGCAAGTAATATACGCGGCGGTGAGTTAGAATAAACTGAACGTTCCCTGGAACACCGCTGTCACAATTGCTCGTCATTTATATCAATAGCTAATCATACATGTACATGTATTATAATACATACGCTAACATATGCTAACATAACACATATACATATGCTACTAATGCATGTATCATTATGATTAGCTCTTGATCGTATTCATATCATTTCCATCGACTGTACAGCTATAGTCTTGCACTCACCCGTCTGCGGCTTTTGATATCTTTATACTCCTCCTATTTAGCTGAGCGGTAAGCGTCTCGATCTGAAAATACCATATCGACAAAAAATATCACGGTCTATTCAGCAACTGATGTCTAGCTTTTGACAACTATCGCGCACCGCAAAGCCGTGTCATTTGCAGCATCCGTTGAGTGTTTGACTGGCGCGCGGTTGTAAAGCTGAATAAAACTACGTTATGTGATTATGTAATAATGTATTTGAACGTATAGCGCTAGGAAAGATGGCAACGGAAGCCGCTGTGGGGCAAAGCAGAGAGGTAGCGGTCAGAGCTACCTACACGCGCTCTCGATGCTCAACAGGTGTGTATACAATATTCTACAGGCATGTACAACATTCTACCGGTATGTACAATATTACACAGGTGTTTACTGTATTCCACATGTGTGTACAGTATTCCACAGGTGTGGACTGTTTTCCACACGTCGTGTACGAATGTACAATATTCCACACGAGTGTACAATAATCAACAGGCATGTAAATTAGTATCTATCTCTACAGGTGTGTGTAGTATCCTACAGGTATATACGGTATTACACAGGTGTGTTCACCATCACACCGCGCGGTGTGTATAGCAGCATCTCATGCATCCATTTACCCCTAATAGATGTGCTCTTCATCTTATGATCAAATCTTTACCTGTTTCTGCAACGCCTCGACGGGACATTCCTTGTCGGATTCTAGGATGCTGGGACTAATCCTGCCTCCGGGTACTGCATAGTTGAACTGAAACGACATACAACACGTATATATCTACATAGTCGCGTTTCTTCTCCCCGCGCATGTTCAACGTATACACGCCCTGCAGGCGTGCGGTTTGAATTTTTCCATCAACACCGCGTGCTAAAAGGGCAGCGATTGTTAAGCCGGCGTGTATATATCGATTGACAGTATATAATATTGGTGGGTGAGGGTCCCCCCGCTGGCTGCCAACGGCCGTTACTCGTGATTCTTTCAGCGGAGGTAATCGGCGGTTTTACGATAACCTGTCTTCATTTGCATAGTCTATCTCTTTATTTTTGATGCGCGCGCGCAAAACTGTCAATAAATCATGCCGGGTTAACCCCTAGAAATATATAGAAACACTAGTAAAATAATCATACATAATATCTATAGGCCTATTATATATATTAAACACACACATATATATATATAGAGAGAGATTATATATAATTATATATATATAATATATATATATATATAATATATATATATATAATTGTATATATAATATATATATTTAATTATATATGTGTGTATAATAAGAGTCTAACTAGTATATTATTTCCATGGGTTAAACGCATCGTACGTATATGCACACGCGACAATCACACACCTCTATTGCCTGCCTTCTATTACAGAACATCATTGTGCAATATAGAGAAAAATACAAAGAAATCTTTATGTATGCATAATGGCAGAACGGATGCAAGGGCTGGCTGCCGGAAATTAAATTAACGAAATACGCAGATATCGTATTGTCAGGTGCTTCTGTGTTTTTGTAGTGACGCATGATAACAAAATTCTACCTAGAAATTGCCCCCTATACGTCACGCCAACTCAATGAACATGAACGTCAATTTTAATTTTCTTTTTGAAAATTAATGAAGATATTTAATCATATATCCTCGGGGCAAATTAGAGTCATTGCTTAGATATTCTACATGCACGCTCCTCAAAATGTATCAAGGGATAACTGCAGCACTGATGAAATCAAACATTATCCCTAGCCACCCACTTAACTTTACATTGCTTCAGTGTACGTTCTAAATACGAATGCGTTAGCGTTTTTTGATTCATGATCACAATGCCGTCGATATTGCTTGCCACTAGCGCCACCGCCACGATCTTCAATTCATTAAATGTAAACCAACAAAAAACTAAAACTAAAAAAATCTTTAAAAAAACTTTAACAAAAAACTTAAAAAAACTAAAATCCGTTCAGGTGCCTGCGGTGAATCCATTATTAATGCGATCTGAAAACATGAACTTTACTATGCATATATTAACACGTGTAATAAATACGTAAACTATGCGTATATTTCGCTTCATTACTGCCGCGACGATTTTCAACATAGAAAGCAAAGGGAAAAAAACAAACAAACGGGGCAGCAGGACGGGGTAGTAGTAGTAGTAGTAGTAGTAGTAGTAGTAGTAGTAGTAGTAGTAGAGCAGGAGTAGATAATATAGGATCCTATATCCATATCCCATAATATCCTATATGCTATATCTAAGATCCTTATATTATTCTTACCTCGGTAGAGTACGTAGTAGTAGTAGTATAGTAGTATAGTAGTAGTAGTCAGTAGTAAGTAGTAGCAGCAGCAGCAGAGCAGCAAGGCAGCCGCAGCGAGTAGTAGTAGTAATAGTAGTAGTAGTGAGTATAGTAGTAGTGTAGTAGCAGTAGTCAGTGTAATAGTAGTAGTTAGTAGTAGTAGTAGTAGTAGTAGATTAGTAGTAGTAGCATAGTAGCAGCAGTAGTAGTAGTAGTAGTAGTAGTAGTAATAGTAGTAGTATAGTAGTAGTAGTAGTAGTAGTAGTTAGTATGTAGTAGTTAAGTAGTAGTATAGTAAGGGGAGTGAAGGAACTAGCAGGGGAGGAAGGAAATGAGTAGTTGTAATGGCCTTGGGGCTTTTTGTTAAACGTGTGCTTGCGTACAGTCTCGCTAGGGTTCAGTAGCACTGACGCGGCTGCTTGCTGAGCCGAACAAAAAAGAACAAATGAAAACAGCACTCCTTTCATTAACTAATCTTACAAGTCCACTATTTGTAATTACATTAGCAGTGGCAAATAATTAGTTTTTTTCTTCGAGTTTCTAACTATAGTAATTTTTATTCAAAGAGAAGGCTACGTTAGGGGGTGGGCGCAAAAAAGGGGTTTTCGCTCGCGGAAAAATTCTGGCAACACGGCGTGAGGTAATAACACTTAACGACATTATAAAATGGCATGGCTGTGTGTGTGTGTGTGTGTGTGTGTGTGGTGTGCGTGCGCGTGGCGTGCCGGCGTGCGTGGCGTGGCGTGCGCTGGCGTGCGTGCGTGCGTGCGTGTGCATGTGTGGGTGTATGCGTGTGTGTAACTGTAAAGTGAGAACTGGATTTATATCCGGCTGGCCAGATGGGGTCACGAACGACACAACACACACGCACGACACACGCACGCACATAACACACACCACACCCACACGGCACACACACACACAACACACACACACTTGCACGACACGCACGCAAAGCATGTACGAAGCACACACACACGCCAGCACACACACACCCCGCGTACCCACACACACACACAGCACACCACACACACATCAGCGCACAGCACGCCATTGTAGCGTACACACACACATATGCACGCACGTACGCACGCGCAGCAGCGCACACACAGACACATGTGCGTGACTGCAGATGTAGATAATACTGTGCAAAGATCAGGGCATGTAGGGAGATGAGAAGGTGGTTAGTGTGAGTTAGGAATATAGAGTGTTGCTGAGCACGAAAGAAACAATGCTGCGGCTCGTGAAAGCAGCAACAGCACGCAGCGGAGGACGAAGAGGATGAAGATGAATACGGAGGTGGGGAATGTGCGGGGAAATGAGGAGGAGGAGGAGGGAGGAGGAGGAGGAGGAGGAGAGCCAGCAGCGCAACAACAACAACAAGCAACAACAACAAACAAGCAGTAGCAGCAACAGCAAGCGGCACAGCAACAGCAGAGCACAACAACACCAGCAACAACAG